AGAATCTCTTTGGCATTTATTGTTTTTTTTGTTTTGTTTTTTTTAATGCCTTTGTCTTTTATATTTTTATGACTAAATTACGCATAAGTAAGCAAAGCAGCTGATGAGGCCCATATTTGCAAACATTGACACCATTAAAATAACATAAAGTGTTAGCATTTTTCTGCATTATAATATGCGTGTATGGTCTATTGTGGAGCTGCAACTGAATCTATTTACGGATGTTTTTACGGATTAGGTGGTGTTCCCAAAAGCTAATTTCCTCCCCGAACATAAGCTGAAGGAGCTGGAGCGCTATCTCCCAGAAAAGATGGATGCAGAGCAGCCAGACAGTATGGACGATGACCTCTACATCTATGCTGACCTGGAGGACTGTGACTTTGAGAACAGGAGAAGATACAGAAATGAGTGCTACTACATGGACGAAGACGACTACGCCACCACTGGTGGTGTTCAGTGCCAGACGTCTTAAGCAACAGCTGGCCTTTGTCTATTCCAGAAGCTTAGATCCTCATCTCCAATGCAAAGCACCTTTTTTTTTTTTTTTGTTATCTGTGCACTTTTAACTTTATTTTCCTTAAAAATCAATTTGTCTCTTTAGTTTGTTTGAAGTTGGTTCATAAAACTGTTTCCCAGTGCCCTGTGAATGTTAAAATTGCAGGATTTGAACTTAGATGCAGTTCAGTGGAATTCCTTTTCATCTAGGACCCCCCTTTTTTTTGTTTTTGTTTTTTTTCTTTTCCTTCTTCTTCTTCTGTCATTCACACTGTGATTAAAGATGAGGGCTGGTATAACAGGCTTCAGGGAAAAGCATGACGGCCTGCTTTTTGTGCAGTTACACTAAAACTGATGACAATAATAGGTAAATAACCTATATATATATATAGACAGAGAGAGAGAAATCTTAATCAGGCGTTGAAAACCACTTTTTGTAGTCTCATCCATTTTTGGTGTCTGTAGCTCTTTCAGACATGAAACTTGTAACGGCGCTGAATCTGTCAGTCTCTTAAAGTAACAGCATTCTGTCTTTCAGTCAATGTTCCTCATGCCTTCATTCAGACATCCCTGTGACAGAGATCCACGGTATGTGCACAATATCAGCTTTATTTGTAAAAGTCTTTGTATTTACCGGGACGTGCATTGTCAGTATTGACTCTAGCAAAGTCTAATGACAATTGTCATTAAGAGCAAGGACATCATCCCCAACCCTTTTCACAGAGGCTAGAAAACTTTATCACAGAGGAAATTTTTCTCTCTGAGCAGTTTAGAAACTGAGCTGGTGTTTTGCGTTCTATAGTGAGCTGATCGGCCCACAGAGCTACAACAGAGACGTGCACGCTTGTAATAGTGTGGGTGTCTCTCTGTTGTGACTGCATGCAGTCAGCCAAATACACATATTTTCTGACCTAGTGCGTTTGCTGCTGTAACTTTAACTCTTTACCTTTTAAAGCCTACTAGGAGTAACCCTTGGAGTTCTTTTGTGAAGAGTGGTCACATTTCTGGTTACAGTACAGAATCACAGCGACACTTCAGAAAAACAGGAAACTATTTTAATGGTTGTAAAACCACATCTTAATTGATATACAGTGAGATGTCAAAACTCGTTAAGGGAACATGTGAGGTCATCAGATGTCGTCTTTATGGGGGAAAGAGTTAATGAAAAAGCGATCAGAGTGCTGATTTATACAGGCGTGTTTGTCTGAAAGGGGCCCACGAGGACCAGATGTGGTGGAGGTGCTTGGAAACTTGATTTAAAACATTAAAGCTGTTGTACCCTTTCAAGGGCTATTTTTTCAGACTTTTTATGAAAAAACGTGTGACAGGTTTGAAATCAGTGTAGTCATGATTAAAACAGGGAAACGGGAAGTTCAAGCCACTTAATTTCCAACTAATGTTTGAGTTTAGCGTTTTGTTTAGTTTTTTCCTGAGCTGCAGTCAGTTGTCTGTGACGATGCCGCGCACGTCTAGTATAGTGTAAGTGTGAGAGTGTGCAAAGGTATGTGCAATCACCTTATATTTTGAAAGGCTATTTATGATTCTTGTTATACTCATTTACATTTCATAATTCTTTTTTTTTTTTTTTTTTAAATTAGAATAGGTTTACATGCTAATATTAAAAAAACTAAACACAACGTATTCTTCCGTGCCCCGCTCCATATTGCCGCTACGCCACAGTTCATCCTCTTCCTGAAATGCTCATCCTGAAAGGTCCAGCCTGCTCTGATTGGTCAGAAAAAGCTGTCTGTGGATTAAGTCTCAAGTTTCTCAGGAGCTGGGAGTGCATGAAGACTCCTGCATTCAATCATTGTGACAGTAACAGAACATTTTGTGTGCTTTGCCTATGGCTGAGACATTTTAGAGACATTTCTTTCTGTGGAAAGAAGAGAATAACTTCCTTTTTGTCCTTCTCTTTCTTACCCATGTGTGTTCCCTGACATTTTTTCCCTATCACTGGACCCGTTTTCATTTTATAAAACAAAGCATAAGCAGGGCTATTTTGAATAGGTATGATTTTTCTTTGGAAACAATGGCATGGTTGTGGCAACATTGTACTCGAAAAGGTTTCTAATGTCTGCCTGTTTAGTTTTGTTGTGAGTTTAAAATCATTGGAAGACAATGAGATCAGACTCCAAAATCTAGAGTTTAAATGACAAATGAAACCAGATATTAGTATTTTTCCATATTCCTTGTGAACCTTGTAAAAGCCAAAATGAGTAATGGGAGTTTATGGATGGGCTTTTAAAATAGATAAACCTGCAAACTTTATACCTCATTAAAGTGTCTGCCTGTTTGAAAGCCTTTTCATAACTTAACTTGAAGTTACTTGATAATGCAGTTTTATTTTTCTTTCTTTTATCTCAATGGTGTTTGCCTTGGATGTTGTAAAACGGTCATGCTCACAGAAGCAAGGGTCTCCTTAAATAATGTAAGTAGTTCTTGAATGCAGATGTGAATTTGAGCGCTCATAATGTAAGGGGATTTCAATGCAAAGAGTAATTCAAGTAAATGTTGCCAAGGTTTTAAATTAACTTGATGCATGTTTGGACCAGTGGTCTACTTGTTTGTGTTCATGTTTTCTAAATAAATGTGATTTAATGGTCTTTCTAAGTTTCTGTGTAACAGTGCTTGATATCTTTTAGAAAATCTGTCTCTGCTGTTTTTCATTAAACTGGATTTTTATACCCAGATATTAAAATTCAGACACCCTGTTACAATCTAAACCACTGGCTCAAAGTATTTTTTTTCTCTCTTTCTCTGTACATCTCACACTCTAGTCATTATTCAGTTGGATGGGAATTAATATAAAAATAGGGTTGTTGTTTTTTTCTAAAATTGAATATTTGCTGTGTTTTAATCTACAGTGACCACATATCGGGTACAGTTGCGATAGCATGCCCTGTTTTTCTCCCCAGTTCGAAGATTTTACATATGAGGGTTTTTGTTTGTTTTTTTTTAATCTCCTGGTCCTTAGCGGGTTCTGAAATTAGGTAAATACAACCTTAAAATTCCAAATTATTTAACAAAAGCTAAGACAAAACACAAAAATGGTGTGTGAAAGATGAGGTATACGCCATGATTCAGTAGTTTGTACAACCACATGTTGCAGCTTTGAGTCATTTGTTTATGCACAGCAGTCTCAATCAGGTTTTTATCCCTTCTGTTGTAGATTTGCGGCTGTGTTTAGGATCATTGTCCTGTTGCATGAAGTAATCTGAGGCAAGTTTGAGCTGCCTCACATTTGAATCTAGATATACAGAGGAGTTTATGGTTGACTCGTTGACTGCAAGGTCCTGTACCATTATGTTGTTCATCATTTGTAGTTAATGTTAGAATGATTGTTATTATGTTTTGATATGCAAAACATTAGAATTGAAAGAGAATGTACTCTCTTTTTACTATATATATAATTAAACAGGGGGGAAAAATGGATGATATTCTTTTGGACTTTGAAAATATTTTTTTCATCAGTTTCACAAAAATTTTGACTACACGAACATGGCAACAAAAAGTGGCTTAGGAAGATATAATAGTTCATACTTTGTAATACAACTTACAAACCCGTCGGGTTTGATAACCAATCCTGTTACTTCCAGTTTTATTAATTCTTCCACATCTGGAAACTTGTTAGTGCCGAGCAGCAAAGATTCAAATTGACTGTCCTTTAAAAAAAAAAATGTTGCACATACAGTACTTGGATAAATTGCCACGTCGGGAACAAATCTAGCACTAAAGCATATTATTATGAAATAACACAAACACCAGGTTTTTAATTTTATTATCATTTGTCATGTGGTTGGAGATGTTATGTACAGCATAATGAATATACCAAAAATAAATAATTCAGTTGCTAAACAATATCTCGCAGTGATAAATGACGACAGTACCAGGTAGTACGAACAGTTACCGCTAGAGGAAGTCTGTTGCAGGTACATGTACCTTATCTATGCACAGGAACATCAGACACAGGACAATAAATGTGTAAAATACATTTGTTGTTTACGCACAGGATACAGAATGTGTCACTGGAGCTCTGTACAGGGTTATCAGTCATCATGCATATTTTAAAGGACTACAAAAATTACTGTAGTGCACTGAGGTAGCATGCAGGGAACGCAGAGAACAAATAAATCATGACATCAGAATCGTTATTTGGATAAAATCTAAAAATTAAGAATAAAAAAACATTATTATAAACCAAAGCAAATCAATCATATACCTGATATTGTTTGTTTATGCCCAAACAAGAGGCGATCTCTATTATAACTATTTTCACAACAGTTCACCATCATGCATTTTCATGTCTAATAAAGACAGAAGAGATGAAAATGGGGATTCAAACTGGTGAAGTTGGATTCATGAGGAAGAAGGTGTAAGGTATGGAGGACCTAAACAGCGTTGCAAATGCTAATGAATTACAAATAAATTACTCAAAATCAAAATATGGAAGGAAAAAACATGTTTAAAGTGCAGCTACTTTAGATTATTTTTTTGTTGAGAATTTGCTGACTTAAAGAAAACATAAATATTGGCATTCTTACCTTAAATTTTCCACAAGGAATTTTAAAAAAAAAGAAACCAACATACAGAATCCTTTAAAGTGGGGGGGAAAACTTTGATTGGTAAATTTATTTATAATTTAAAGGTGGTTTTTTCATATTCATTGATTGTTTTTTCAAAGCATTTTCATGGCACAAATAGATTTTAATACACCATGTCAACAGCTGTGTAGGTCCTCCACAATATAATGCAGGTGACACTTTAAGGCTTCCATAGCCTCAGCAGACCGTCTTCACTGTACGTGGCAATCAGATTCTCATGTGGGTGGTGAGTGATGCCAATTACGTCTTTCTCGTGAACCTGTGAGTGCAGGGAAGACAGATCAGTACACATTCTCCATCACCCATCAGTTGCTCCCACCCACCCCTTACCCTGTTATTGTTACTCAGCAGCAGTGACATAGCTAAACAATAACAACACTTAAAAAAAAATGCTGCGAAGATCGTGGAAATCATTTACAGTAATATAATGTCACTTTGATGCTACAGATGGGCAATTTTACACATTACTAGGTGATTTCTAGACATCAGTGTGCCAGGCCTGGTTGGAAACTAACAGAGATTTTGTGTATTAAGGTAAGATTGTGTGTTTAGACTGTGATTGATATGGATGTGTAATGGGTTTTTTCCTCTAGTGGATTGCCTAGGAACACCTTTAAAGTTTAGCCAGCATGGTGATTTATTACATCTGGCCAGCATTCACCTTAGACTAGTTGTGAAAATCCATTTCTCTAAATGTGCAGTAAGAAGAGTAAGTAATATGCAACAGAGCTGAATGCTTGTAACACCTCAAGAAAGGCAAAAAATATTTGTTAACAACTTGCAACAAGATGCATTGGCAAAGATATGCAGCTATAATTTACGGTGATAAACTGTTTTAGGAGGTCACAGTAGAAACACTGAAATAACAGTGATAACTGGTTGAGACCAACAGCTGACAGTAGAGCAGGGCGATATGACCAAAAATATTTATCACGATATACATTTGAAAATTTGCGATAACGATATAACTGAGCCACCATCAATGTATTTTCACTTAAACAAGCAGCTGTTTTTTATGTGCATTAAAGTTATATAAAAACGTAACAGTGCAAAATCCTTGCTGACAGTTTAACCAAAAGGCATTTCCAGTGGAAATTGGCCGACATATCCTCAGCATAACCATGTATAATATCCACAAAACTTAAAAAGAGGCTATACACACACAATACGGTAATATTATGTTGAAGCGCAGTACGTATCACTCCGCGAGGCTCCTGCCTACGATAGCCGCAATGCTCCGACAATCCATCAAGCGGTGCGGGTTCGTAGCTTAGCAAAGTCGTACTGAAACATTTGACAGATTTTCGAGCACCGTGTATGACATAAAATCGTTTCAAGGTCAGTAAACACAACCAGAATTCATACATAAGGCACACGGGATTATAAGGGGCGCTGACGATTTTCAGAAAATCAAAGGATTGATTTTAAGTGTGCCGTATTTTCCAAAAAACACGGTAATAACGACGGCCCGCTAGCATGCTCTACCAAAAATAGTGCTTTGTTGTGTATCTGACGGCCGAAAGCTAAACCAGTTCCACACCACTGAAGTTGCAGCATTTTTACAAACCAATTCTGATTCATCCTTTTCATTCAATGTTCCGCTTTCGACCTTCTCATTCTCCGTCGCTGCCATGCTCTTTCCGCCATGTGCGTATGAAAACAAAGGCACTGCGCATGCGCGTTTTACCCATATTCTATGGCGATATTTCATTTTCTTATCGTTGCCCAACAATATACCGGTATTACCGTGAAAGGTATGATATGGCCCAGCCCTAGCTGACAGTATGCAGTAAAGCTCATTTTCTACACAGCATGTTTTGGACAGTAAGTAAATGGAACATGGAAGCTTATTAGAGCGTAGACGAAAAACACTAGCAGCCCAAATTTTAATAGATGCAAAACAGTTTTAATAATAAGTGAATATTAGCAGCAGCACTTACAGTCAGCGTTTTCTCCAGCCTTCCTGTTGTATAGCTGAAGCAGTAGAGCACTAAGTCCTCCCCCACACAGTAAATCCACTCCCCGCGGGGTGACAGGGTGCAACACACAAAGTCTGCTCTTTTTCTGTCTGAACTGAAGGTCTTCACAGTCTGAGGAGATGAGAGAGAGAGAGAGATGTTAAGCTTCCACAAATATATTCAAGTGTGAATCTAAAACACCAATAAAAGGTTGAGATAAACAATACATTGTAAGTAACTTTGAAAATGCATTGTCTTTTCAGTTCAAAGAACCATTTGGGGGTGATTGTTTTGGGGGGAACAAAACAATCACCTTCAACTTTACCTTCAATTCAGATTTGCTCATTCATTTTAAGGAGCTAATATGCAGGTTTTGTTACATTTTGACAAAGACTAGAGAGTTTTTCTTGCATTTCCTGTCATAGACTAGTGGATTTGTCCACTAGCGATGTTATTCACTTTTTGCAAACTACTTTTCTGAAGTCTTCAATTGAGTGTGTAAGCCATCATCTGCTGTTTTATAGTATATTTTACAGCTAAAAGTACCACAAATTACAAAATGAGATGTATTTGAAGCAAACTTAAAACTGCTAACGAAGATCATAAACGGATTAGGAAAGTGTTTACTGAGACCGAATAAGTCACCCCACACTGGCCATTAGAGAAAATGTAGGTTTATGACATCTCCACAGAGGAGCAGCATTTTTGTACTGTAAGTCAAACAACTATTGATAAGTCATCACCTTTAGTCATACAATTTTTTTTTTACAATTTTCTGATGACTAATTGAAAATTAATTAGTAGATGAAACAGTAATAATAACACTGTGTAATGCAGCTGTAATTGCATTAATAATAGCATAGCAAAGTCTCGTTCTTTAGATTTAAATGAGGTTCTATGAGAAGAGTAAGTTGCTCTCACCTGGCCATGCATGCTCATGACGACCACAGCGTTGGAGTGGTTACAAACCACAAAGTGCTCTGGATTCTGGGGGAGAGGGATCACGTTGTTGACGGGGACATCCAGTGTCCTCGACAGACATTTAAAAGTGTGGATGCACTCACAGGATTTTGTGTTCCAAATCTGAACAATACAGGAGAAAAATCTCAGATTTTAGAGTAGCTCAGCACTTTCTCAGCTGTCGTGTGTAATGACACCAATCAGAACAGATCTGAATGACTTTCTAGAGTCTTCTGATGTGGCGCCACGCTGTTAATGCAAATTGTACCTTCACAGTGCCATCTGATGAGGCGCTGATGATGTGAAATCCATCTTGAGTGAAGAACACATCGTTTACGAATGATGAATGGCCATTTAACTCCTTTAGCGTCTTGCCTGACTTCAGCTCATGGACTCTGGAGATGACATTGTTGAGGAATTGATTGAGATAAAGGACACTGAAATGAATTAAAAGGGCATTGCTGAGTCATTTTAACAATCCCCTCTTCAACTCAAAGAGGGGATTTTACTCGACAGCGGATGAAATGTGCCACTGAGCTGCTGATGTGCTATTTTTAGCTCCTCTGTGTGGCTGGGTGCAGATTTACTTAAACCGTGACAAAACCCATAATGCCTACTGATTCGCTTCCTGTCCTGCGGGACGATATATCATTTGTAAACAATCCACCCCGCGTGTGGAATTTCAAGCAGAGGAACACGTTGCAGCTTTGTGCCTGAGCACATGGTTCCTCGGCTACACCCACACAGCACATGTGCTTCCAACACTGCAGAGAGGCTCAGCCCACACCCCCAGGAGTCAGAAATAACATTCAGCTCCACAACGGTGATGGGGATTCAGTGCGTGCATGAGGGTGGGAGCAAAAGGAAGACATCTTTGTCCTTTGTAGGCACTGCGTATTTACAGGTGCACAGTGTATGTGAACAACTGGCATCTTGCACTTTTAGTTGAGCATGTTTTTTATGGCTTTTGGGGGCAAAAGTATGATTTCCAAACACAGATTTTGCAGCTAAAGTGGAAAAATGCAGAGTCACTGTAGGCACAATTTCCAAAATGTGCTCTAGCAGACAGTTTAGAAAGCATTAAAGGATTTAAACTGCCAAATCTACTTTTCAGTTTTTTGCTAATCAGCTGTGGGATGTAGAAAGAGACCGCTGCTTTCCTCCTGCTGAAGCGACGCCCATGTGTGCACCTTCAAAACTTTTGTGAATCATGTCTGAGGGCAGTCAGATCTCTCGCTTGCCTCCCACGGTAGACGAGGCAACTCTTGCCACAAGGCTCTCAATTTAAATGGTTTCCTCTTTCCTTTTGATATGTCTCTAAATGTTTTTTTGTTAATGAGAGCAGATTTTCTTTTTCATTTCATTTTTAAATTAGTACAATTTTAAGCTATTTGTGTGGAAGGCTTTACATCAACCACAAATATATTTTTAAATGTGAATATATTACTTATGTGAATACAGTCAGTGTTAACCCTGCAAATTTAAACTTATAATTTTAACAATGTTACATGTAAGTTATGTTAATAATGTAATAAAATATAAACACACACACACACACAAATTCTCTACATTATGTTGTGCAAGACGAATAGCTGCAGTCTGCAGCGTGTTCACTACACAGAAACCATGACAACATCGAATCCCACCTGATGGTGTGGTCGAAGGAGGCACTGAGGATCTGGTTGCCGTCTTTGGAAAAGCCCAGACAGGCCACGCCTTTGTTGTGAGCATGCTCAAACCTACGCATACACAAGCCGCTCTGGATCTTCCACACCTTCCCCAACAACACACACACATTTCAAAAGAAAAATCAAAAGATAGATTACGTCAGCAATATATTCATAAATCGTATGGATACAGTTATTGATCGTTTATTTTATCTGGAAAGTACACACACAAATATGAACCCATCCAACCTTTATTTTGCCATTCTGAGCTCCAGTAGCCAGTAGATCTGTATCCTGACTGAAGCACATGCACAGCACAGCATCATCCATCATCATGAAGCTGTCTTGGGCCTGATATTTTAAATCCTGGTTCATTCATTCAGCAATGAAAACACAAAATTAGGAAAATGTGGTATTACACAGTATGTAGGAGGTGATGTGTTTAAAAATAAATCTTAGTATTTTTAGTTTCCTGATTTGAAATATATTCACCTTGCTAATTTTTCCACTGTTGAAGTTCCAGACCTCAATAAAGCCATCTACTGACCCCGTAATTAAATACTTTCCATCGGGTGAGAAACGGGCACATTCCACGTGTGACCGCCGCCCAAACTGCACACACAGAAAAGCTTATTAATGCTTGCAGCACACGTGCTTTCCTGTTTGATTTGCAGCCTGAGATTCACACTCAGACAAGGAAATAAGGCACTAATTAATATTAGGAGACTCCAGGGAGACGTAAAGTTTTTCAATAGCCTGCTGTTGTGTGGGCTGACTATTCTCACTTAATGACCTTGGGCAGAGAATAAGCATGGATGAGCAACTCAGGCTGCTCCATCTGGATAGAAGTGATGAGAGCACAGCTAGAGACTAGATGAAGTGCCTTCAGGTGCACAAAGTAATTAGTTTGCAGTGTTTTTGTGTGTATGTATTGGGATAATAACCAAGGAAATAACAACCTCTTCTTTAACCTTCAAATGATGGACAATAATTTGATATATTCAATCATACAATCATACAAATGTGTCCTGTTATTCATTTTTCTGCCTACTTCTCCAACCACTTGTTGTGAAGCTGTTTTTTTTATTATAGGTGTTAATTTTATTTGAATTCTCCATTTTTAATCAGTATATTGTAACGTTTTGCAGTGAAAGATCCAATTCAGTTAGTACACGTTGTTTAACAACAGCCAAATAGTCAAGTAGGTTTCAGGGATATTTGGACAATGTCTGTAGGCTTGTTGCCCAGATAATATATTGCTGGAGGTGATCTTTGTGTGGATAAACAGCTGCGTGCAGAGGCAGGTGCACTTTCATGTAGTACATCCCCTCTAAACCAACCAAGCATAAAGATCTGGTGAAGCTGTGATGCCAAAATTCCTTTGGAATGGATGATTAGGAGTAATGAGTTTTGGTGTCTTTTAGAATTCTGAAAAAAGTCACATTTCTGGCAAAATCAGTCAGTATTCTGAAAAAAGAATTCAGCTTTTGAGAACAATTTGAAATTATCAGAAGAAAATCTGTATTTTGATTTTAAAAAAGTCAGAATTTGGGTGCAGAGGGGGTTTCAGAATTCTGAGAAAAAAGTCCAAATTATGATTCCCCTCTCCCCCCAGAATTAAAAAAAGCCATGACCTCACGTTTTTTTTTTCCAGTGGCCCTAATCAACTTCCATGAATTTTGCCTAGAAAATACTGAGAATTGTCACTAATTATAGTATAACATGTTAGAGTATCTGCACATAAAGGATGATAAACACAAAAAGAGCCATAAAAAAGTTCTCCTGTATAAAATGTAACAGTGTGATAAATCACCCCAACGGATCATTTAGTTGTTAAAATAAATTTGGTCACTTGAGTGCTCTGCTAGAAAACAAAATCCTTTTCCAAGTGCCATTACAGACCTTGATGTGGCGGTACAGCTGGTTTGGAAAGGTCTCTTTCTCCACATATTTCTCTTTGCAGGCAGATGTATCAATGGTCATATCAGGGGAGAGGTGATCTGTATACTGCTGTAGTTTCATAGACTGCAAGACGGTGAAAAAGAGTCAGCAGAAAAAATAAAACAGTGAAAATCTCAATAAAATCAAGAATACTAAGAACTACCAAATTATTTTTTTTATTTTCATGCTGTGTACAATAATGTAATGCAACTTCTGGCAGTAAGAACACAAGTTTCCCACTTTGAAATATTGTCCAAGTCCAGTTTCTTTCTTGTTTTTTCCCTTATTTTTAACATGACTGTTATTAGCCTCCTGGATTAGACAAGTTATAACTTAAAGTGAATGGAGGCTATTCAGAACTTTGCTGTAGCTGGCAGCACTTGTGTAACAGCTCACTAACAAAAATAGCATCTTGCACAGGAGGATGTACAGTACAGTATGTCTCTGAGAATGTAGAAACTCAGTCTTGAGAAACTCACTATGTTGCCACGTCAATCACTCAAATTAAAGAATATAACTGAGCTTGTTAACATGTCAGGGATGAAATTGCTAAAGAAAATGAAAAAGAAAAAAAAAGTTAAATATAAATACAAATGAGGGTCTTGCTCTTGTTTTATGACTGGTGTACTGTTCTTTTGTTGTTGTTTTTGTAGCTTACCTGCATCCTTTAAACTTTAAATCTCTCAAAAAATGGTTTCAAATTTACATTACTTTTTGACTAAATGTGCAGAATTTGGAGGTATAAAAAAGTTAATACATTTTTCAGTATTTCACACGGAAAGAACTCTGTTAAAGGTCCTGATCAGACGACACAAAAGTGTGTGTGAGATCTATTTCACCTGGAAAGCAAACAGCCCAGTGACTGTTATGTTTTACTGGGATTTAACCAAAACTGTCTGTTTAAAGTGAAATTCTGTGTCCAAGTAAGACACTCAGAAAGTTGGAAGGACTGCAGAAAAGTGTTTGTTGCCCTCAGGAAACCCTAATTAAAGTGGTGCTGTTGTATAAAAAAATACATAAAACTGAGGTATTTCTTTGGTATCTTTGACAAACTATCACACAGTGTTGTCTCCATCGATTAAGAAGTGTTACTTGCCCTGTAATTAGAGCGGGTTTTTCAGAAGGATATCGATCAGTGCACTTACACCAACTTGTTCCAGGAGTCCTATGAGGCGGGAGGGGGGCACCACGCTGACCTCCCTCACCAGAGCCTCAGCTATGGCTCTGCGCCGCTTCTCCTTGCTGCTTCCTTTTGGGTACGCCTGCAGTGGGATTGAAAGGATGTTAGCTATACCTATGAAGCGCTCTCTGACGCAGCTGTCCGAGCACTTTGCTTTCTTACCTCACGAGGGTCAAAGTAGGAACAGGTTAGCAGGTTCTCCAGGTGGCCGTACCTTTCTGGCTGGGTCTGCTTCAGCATGATCATCGGGTCGGTTTGCCTGAGGAGCGAGCGAGCTGCGCCCACCTCCCTCATTTCAATGAGCTCCATAACAACCTGTTGAAGAGAACGTGATCAATTACAAATAAACAAATGAAGCCAAGGAAAGCATTAGCTGAACATCCAAAGACTTACCTGCTCATAAAGGTCAATAAGTATGTTGTCAGGCAACTTGAGAGATTCAATAGCCAGCAGGACAGAGTCCCAGTGACCCTTGTTTATATCTGCAATAAAGCTTTCGATGCTTTCCACTGTGTTGAGGGAGACGGTGGTTTCCTCCTGTAACGTGGTCAGCGTCCGGTAGAGGTTGTTCTCTTTGAGGTACTGCATTATCAGACGGATCACACTACGGAGACAAAGGGGAAATGTTCAACAATATCTGATTTGGGATGGTGCCACACGTGGGCACAGCCTTAAAAGGAAAAGGTCGCAGCACAAAAGGCCTGTCTCATGTGGACTTTTGTTCCACTTTAGAGCCACCTGCTGGGCATAAAGCTGTCCTATCCACAATCAGAATCAGGATATTTGATCAATCCCAGAGGAAACTATGTGGTCACAGTTGCTCCAAGACAGTAAGAACAGTAACTAAGTAAACTAAATTAATTAATACAATATACAACAAAGCTACAAAACAAATATACTAACTACAAATAACTCTAATTATAAATATGCCAGTATATTACAAATGTAAATTTATACAATTGACAGTCAAGGTGCCCCTTTTATCTTCCTCTCTGCTGGACGTTCATTTTTATGGTTTAACGTGCACCAGTGGCACCTGCAGATTAAACGAACCTCACCCACTGATTCTACGAGCCAGTGCTTTTGTACTAAATTAACTCCACTTTAAGCAACACAAAAATTTAAACATTCCTGCAGTTGTCTATTCCTGCACTCCCCACAGGAATGACTAACCAACAACAACAACAACAACAACAACAACAAAAAGCACATCCACGCCTTTACCAGGGGGCGGAGATCGTCTTAGATCAACAGGCACATGTGGAGGAAGGAGCCCCTGACTGCAAAACAGTCCGAACCCCCCTCACACACACACACGCACACAGCACGACTACAACCATTTGAGCAGCCTCACGTGTCAAATTAACCATACTGGTCGCATTAAACTGGGTATCAATAACACAGGAGGTTTCACAGCAGACAGGACAGCAAAAACAGCGCAGTTTCGAACACAAACTGTAAAGGCTCCGTTTACGCGGCTTATTTTAAAAGGGGAATATGCAACGATCCCACACACCGACGCAAAGATATGTCACCTAATAAGCGATGGAGCGCATGACAGCAGACAAACCTTATTATTTTCTCTTAAAGTCAAACAGGTGGCAGAGTCCGATCACTTTTTTGTGCACACAAACAAAGGCAAACAGAGAGCGCACTTACTCCGCGGGCTCCATCTCCACAGCCATACTGATGCTGATGTTGTCTCTCTGCTGCTGCAGCACCAGACTGACTGTTGTGACGGCTCAGCTCTCCTCTATAAGCCACGTGAAAGCTGTGTGCTGAGGACCACCCACTCCACGTGCTTCTCCTGTGTCTCCCAGTCTTTTATTTTATTATTATTTATTTATTTTTGCGTTAGCGTAGGCACCATTCCCAAACCCTGTGATACCCCCCCCCCCAAAAAAAAAAAAAAAACACACTCCCTCCCTAGGAGTTGGGGGGACTGAAAAAAAAACGGTTTCGGAGCACGTCGCGTGCAGGAGACGCGTCTGCCGCAGCCACAGCAGCAGCAGCGCTACAGACAGAACCTCGTGGCTCAGAGCGTGCTCCTCTGTGGGGGCCAAAACATCACTCTTCATCACTCGGAAACTGCCTTTTTGTCCTCAACTCATCGGTATGCGCGCACAGACCTGAGTGCGCATACGAGCATCTTTACAGTACCAGTCCCCGTAGAGCACACGCGGTGATTAACTTGCCTTCCCTATAATTAGGCGCTACGGTTATAAAGCTTTTCCCTGGCAGTGGGTGTAAATCAGCCGCGACATTTGCTTTGTTTAAACGTTTATTTTTTACAGCCTGCTTTTCGGCATATAGGCACACATTGCACAGATCTGCGAAACAAACTCGTCGGAAAGCCTCGTTAATCCATAATTGGGTGTTTACCCTCATTAATTCAGCGGCGCATTGGGAAAACTAATAACCTCCCAGAGCTCGATTATCAAACAAGCAATCTGTGGCAGCTCACAAGTAAAGAAAAATACCTAATTCTTCTCACATTTACGTTATATTGTAAGTATTTAGGCCTTTATTTCACTCTCTTATTTTGACAGCAGGCCTGAGGTGATTAAAGCAATAAATGAATCCCATAATGGCTAATATTTACAGTTAGGTATGAACATGCCGCTACTGCTGACTCCTGTTGTCTGCCCCATGTGGTATTCTTCTTCTTCCTGTTTAATTGGTTGACGTTTTTGTTGACACATAGCTGTGATGGCCGAGTGGTTAAGGCGTTGGACTCGAAATCCAATGGGGTTTCCCCGCGCAGGTTCAAATCCTGCTCACAGCGTTAGGGTCCTCCACCGGACAGGTGAAGTATTGCAAAGTCAACCTTTAATGTCGGAGATCAATGAAAAAGAAGCGGCATTAAAAAAAGCGTCTGTATTATTATTTTCTGTATTCTCTGTAACAACATTAATTAAAAGTCCTGCGGGTGATTCTCACAATTGTGGAGCTTACGCCAGTGTGGCTATCGTGAGCAGACGTTTAATTTGTGACCTTATTCTTGCTATGAAATCACGCGAGATTACAAGGAGAGTTAAGAACAGGTGGGCCACTAATTGCCTCTCCCACGCTATTTGAGCGGAGGTTTTCGCCCTGGTTGCTTTATTTCATTTTAGCCTTTACACTGAATATGTGAAGTTTCCGAAAAAGATTTACATTTTAAATTGTTTTTGTTCTTGTTTTCTCAAAGTGTACAAAAGATGACCGTAAACACCAACCAGGTGAGTACAATCAAACACCCTAAGTCCCTTAGTCCTATACTTTTACCGAAACTCCAAATGTTTTTTATGCTCATTTGGCATTTAAACGCGAAAGAAATGAAAACACTTCTTTCACCATGGCTTTCACACCAACTTGGCTTTCCAACGCTCTTCTGTCCCTTTTGCAGAAAGCACCCAGTGCAGCTGCCAGGCTGGCGAATCTGCCCGTCGTTCGTTCGGCTTGTGCCAGACTATCGGTCTTGTACACGGGCACAAAATCCAGGCATCCCGGCCTGAAGTCTGCGTGTGAAGTGCTGGAGAGCAGCGTGACAGCTGTAGGCAGAGCAGCCTGTTACAGAGCGTCACCTGTCATTGTTAAACTGGAGCCCCAGAGTAAGTAGCTACTGTTAGGACTCTTCCATAAAGATGTAGGAAATGACATTAGAGCATCTGGTTTTCTCCATCTTTCAACTACCTTAATCTGTACAGAAAATGGTGTAAACACCCAGATCCTTCTGCAATGCAAAGGGTTTTTGTGAACATTTAAAAAAACCGTTTTATTCGGATTTTCTCGCACAACGAGCTGTCTAAAGTCGGGTTTGGAGTTGGAGAAATTTTAACCAGCACTCACTACCACTTTATTAAGTACTGCTGTGGCCCAGCTGCTTCAAGGTCCAAGGTAGTGTATTTCAGATGATCGTTTGCATATTTTGATTGTAACAAGCGGTTATTTGTGTTACTGTCCTCTTCCTGTGGCATTAACAAGGCATTTTCATCCAGAGTTGTTTCTTTTTTCTATTCACTGTTGTGTGGGGAAAAATCCCAATAGTTCAGCAGTTTCTGAAATACTCAGACCAGCCCGCCAGGCACTACCATCATGCCATGTTCAAAGTAATTTCAATCATCTCTTGTGCTGGGTTTGAACTTCAGCAGATCGTACTGACATCCCTACATGCTTGAATTTGTTTTGCTGCCATGTTGGGCAGCAAAACAAATCAATCTATAAAGATTGATTGATTAGGTATTTGTTTACAAGCAGTTGAACAAGTTAACCTGACAGATTGCAGCAACAGGATACAATGCATTACATTAGAGATGAGACTGAAATGACATTTTTTTCATTGACCATCAGGTCAAAGTTGCTTTTTGGATAAACACCAACACTATTCATGGGTATGTTTCAGTTTCCTATGCAAATGATGTTGCCTGCAAGAGTCTCGACTGGCTGGAGGCTTCATTCTCTGTAATTGTGTCATCCACAGAACAGGTAGCATTTCCTTTCCTCGTTTAAGTCCTTATAACTCACAACAGGTCTATAAAGTCTGGAATAATAAATAAAATATTTTATGTTGTGATTTAATTTTCTTTGCTCAGATTGTTATCCCTGCCAAAACCAAAATGAATGAGATTCAGGCTGGGATGAGCATTGCAGCCAATCAAACAATTGACTGGGTGATGAGGAGGATGAATGATGGCATTAACCGATCACCTCTGAAGACAGTCGTTGGTGTGACAACTGTGGGACTGGACACAGCTCTGAGCTTGTCAGAGGCTCTGGTGGACCAAATGCTTCCCCCAACACAAGAAGGTAACCTAAAATTCATTTATTAGCTTTCTATGTGATTTTTGCCATTTGGTTCAATTTAGATGCCTTTCTTTTCTTTGTATCTCTAGAAGAAGCTCGCTTGATGCAAGGTTTTGAAGTGGTCATGCTCAGGGGCCATTACCCTGAGCGACTGTGCTCACTCACTGCTAAAATGTGTAGAAGGCTTTACCATGAAGCTGGGTCCAAGATTCAAGCTGTTCAGGTGTGCTGTGAGCTGTTCTTGATGTGTTTAGCACAGAAAATGCATATAAAACATTAACCTAAGTATCTGTACCTCCCACTCTGCATGTATGTTTTTACTTCCCAATGTCTCCAAAGTGCTTGCTCGTAGGGGGTTGTCTAATTGTTAGGGTTTTCTCTCTATTATTGTAGGGCCTCTACCTTACAATATAAAGTGCCTTGAGGCGACTGTTATTGTGATGTGGCTCTGTACAAATAAAATCTAATTGAACTTGTTGAAATTTGTTTCTTACTCAGGAGGTAATGAGGAGTTCACCTGGGCCTTCAGCTCTGGTTCAGAACTTGCAGACCAGCTGGCTGAGTGTCCAACGGCTGCCTCAGTACCTGCAGAATCAGGCGTTCGCTGGGTTTTTCTTCGTCATTCAGATGTACAACTTAAACTCCTTGCCAACCCAGAAGAAGCAATCTAATCAAGGCAGAGGTTATCTTCGTACCTCCATGCCTCAAAGGGGTGTAGCCAGGAAGGGGAGGGCTACCAAGAGGTCTGGATTTGACAGCTAATGTAACATTAAGTAATGCATGCGTCATTGATGTCATTTACTGTAACTTTTTGATATATGTGAGCTGAATTTGTCATCTTACTGGTCTAAAATAAATATCTGAAGATTCATAGACTTTGATCTTGTCCTTTCAGTTGGATAGCTGCTCTGCAAACAATCACTCAGTGGCAGCTTCTCCAGTTGCTAAGCTTATAAATGAATCTGTTCTTGGCATTTAATGTGCTTATAAACTAAGGCACCTTAATTGGCACAGACTGAGACCATAATTAACTGGAGGACATTCTCCCAAAGCCCTGTTCATACAAACCAGCTGACTGCCAATTTGGGAGGCAGTCGGATATATTTCTAATCTTTCCAACTTTCTTGCTGAGTAAAGACAATAATAGTAAAAGGAAGCTGAAGTTTGTTATTATGGCTGCATGCAATAGTCCTTATATACTCATGTAGTCTGTTATTTCTGCTGCTGTTCTGTCTGGTAGCAGTCTTTAGGTTCCAGTAGGGATGCATCCATAGACTGGCAAACTCGATTTAGCCCATATCTGACAATTCCAGCTTTTTTTTTTCTTCTTTTTTTTAAAAAGCAAATTATGACACTTGCTGTGTCACTTCATTTTCTCTTGTGCAATTTTTTTTTTTTTTTAAAAACAAATAGCTGGCAACCCTCCCCCCTTCTCAAAACATACTGAAGTTTCATTTTCTTTGTAGTTTTGATGCTCACCAAAATCTGAAATGTTTTGACAGGGTGTAACTTTTACTGATGGAGACATACTAACCTCATTTGACTATATTGAAAAGCTTTCCTTCACATACACTGAATAAAACCAGACTCCAGAAAAGAGTGTCTCCTGCAGAGCCAGTGAAAATGTGGAACAGTTGGTAAGGAATATGAATTGTGTGCAGAACACAACATCGCAGCATGTGCAAATGTACTAAGCCAGGCATAGACATTAAATCTGTTGTCTATGCCTATACTCATTAAAGAGATGTAAAATAAACTACACACTAAAAGTGATTGTGAGCAACAATAATGATGATACTGTTGTT